TAGGATTCTTTGACATCTTATCTCTTAGATAATATCTTTTTATTAGGATTTGTTACTCTTTTTAGGATACTATCTTATTTATTAGTTTCCTTATTAGGATTATGTTATCAGTTTTCAAGTTTCAATCCTGATTTTCGATGCTATCTATTTTAATATTTTTCTTGGATTAGATATATATAATATATATATATATATATATATATATATATATATATATATATATATATAGGGCATGATTTACACCGGTGTAAGACTAAAAAGTCTTACACGACATCTCAATCATTGATAGACAAAAATCATGGGTTGTCATTTGTAGTGTAACTAATAATTAATTAATATTGATTAATTCGTTTGAATTCTTAATTTATAATCGTTGGATGCATTAAAAATCATGTAACAAAAGTCATGTCGTAGTTTCCTCATTCCTATATAAACTCATCTTTCCCCGGCAACATTCACAAGAAAAACACGCAATCTTTCACTCCCAAATTTTTCGAGAAAATTTTCAGCTTCCGTTCGCTCACAACTGCTAGTTTTTCTATTCTCCCTTCTTGTTTGTTTTTTTTCAGATATTTGTCTTGCGTGTTTTTTCCGAGAAAAACACGCAACCATATATCTTTCCCCGGCGGTAAATTTGGTTGAGGGGTTTGGTGGAGGCTAGAACCATGAGATCCAATCGTCTTCACAATTTCACGTTCCCTTCCCCGTTCTTGAAGTGGGGGACCCAGTGGATCATGAGACCTACGAATGCTGACGGCACCGGTGGAATTTCTGGCAGCGGTGATAATAAGCGTAAGCGTTCTTCAGTGTCAATGGTCAAAGAATCAACGGCGACCCACAAGAAGGAGTTGGAGCCTAAAAAGAAGCACGCGACAAATGCGAGGGTTTTGAAACGGCGTCGCTCCATCAAGGTTGAGGATGAGATCGTCTCAGGTAGGAAGAAGCTGATGCTAGATGTGAAGAACGAAGAAAAAGAACCTGTGAACGGCGAGGGTTTGAAAGAACCTCTGAACGGCAAGGGTTTGAAAGAACCTGTGAGGCCGTGGAATCTGAGGAATAGGCGAACAGAGTATAAGGGTGATACGTCGAAGAGGTCGACCAGGACCAGAGGAGCTCCCACATGGGCAAAGGATTACTCAACAGACATTAAATAGCTGTTAGGTAGTTAGGCGGTAGTTATTTTTGTTGTTCTGTTATTCTGTTAGAAATAGGTAATTGTAACCATTGAACCATTTTTCAACCAAAAATATTCTTTTCCAATTTTCTCTATCCTTGATAAGAATCCATCTTATCAAAGGGTTCTTCAGTTAATGCCAGTGTTAGTATCAATTTTTTGTAATAGGCACTTTGTGGTCATCATGAATGTCCTAAGTTCCTTAGTTTTGAGGTCATCATGAAATCCTTATAATCAAATATCGTGATAGAGCTTATATATTTCATATATTCGAAAGAATAATTAAAAATTTGGTCGGCAATCTCATATATCAAAGTCTTTGGAAGAAAAACACGTCCATTTCTATATTTCCTATATTTAGTATTATTATCTAATGACGTGGCCGTATTACTCCTGACACATGTATTTTCAAGGATATTTAACGAGATGGGAAACATGGTTAGAAGAAAAAGAGAAAATTGAAAGAAAATAAGAAGTCGAAATATGAAATTGATTGAACGGTAAAAGATGTGTGACAAAAAGCCAGTGTATAGCTTATATAAACTAAAGAAAATAACAAATTAAAAAATAATTGCTGATTTAATAAATTAATTCAATTTATTCATATTATTGAAACTAACCATATTGTAGTACTCTTGTAAGCTGGAGAATGCGTACTTAACATCCCCATTACAGATGAACAATATAATTTATATCAATCAACAACAAATACTAATTGCAAAATACAACAATCATGGCATAATCACATGTTAGCTGTTGCGGACTATATGGCCACAAGCCCACACATTAAGCCCAATCACTCTACAATCATGGCATAATCATGGGTTTTTACTGCAATACCAACAATATCAAGAACGAGATTAAGTTTTTGAGGTTTCCAATTTTATCATTGGGTTTTTCAACCGACTCTATTAAACTGCCAGCGAATTCCGAATTTGGCGTAGCGTAAGGAACAATGTAATAAATTTTTCATTTTATTTAAATATATTGACTCAAATATTTTTTAAACCTTTTAAAATATCTATAATTAAATATTAAAGATTCTTTTTACTTCATTAGGATTCTTTGACATCTTATCTCTTAGATAATATCTTTTTATTAGGATTTGTTACTCTTTTTAGGATACTATCTTATTTATTAGTTTCCTTATTAGGATTATGTTATCAGTTTTCAAGTTTCAATCCTTATTTTCGATGCTATCTATTTTAATATTTTTCTTGGATTAGAATGATATATATATATATATAGGGCATGATTTACACCGGTGTAAGACTAAAAAGTCTTACACCACATCTCAATCGTTGATAGACAAAAATCATGGGTTGTCATTTGTAGTGTAATTAATAATTAATTAATATTGATTAATTCGTTTGAATTCTTAATTTATAATCGTTGGATGCACGAAAATCAACAATTGAGAAGTTGTGTAAGAATTCTTAGTCTTACACCGGTGTAAAAATTTTCTATATGTGGATACATACTTACATATATTTTCTATCTTTAACTAATTTTTTTTTTATTTTCTCATGAAATATGCAAGGAAGATTTCCTACGAAAAGGCTCTAGTTTGATTTGAAAATCAAGAAGGAAGCAAAGAGGAGTAGAAAATTTACTCATGAGCACAAGTAAAGAGAATTTCAAACATTTTTTTTAAAAAAAAGAGATAATTTCAAAAATCTCAAATGTCTTGAGCAAATGTAGAAAGCATGGCAAAATTATTCAATATTACGCAACACCAAACATGACAAAATGCATTTCAAATTTGTGGGAAAAGATGGTCCAAACAAGATAATATTCCCTTTCCGTAATTAAAAAGGACATAATCATAGGTATTTGAAATTTATTCTTATGTCATTTTTTGTTTGTTAATTATAGTTATATATATTTTCAGGACATTACTCTTTTTTTCAATGAATATAAAGTATAAAATAGTATTGAATAGGATGAAGAATTCTTTTTAATTTTTTTTTAACTTTTATTTAAAATACAAATTTCATTAAGGACAAATTTTAAATTAAAATAAAAAGGATGAATTCTCATTTTACTTCCTGAAATTTATTATTGGCTGATGAACTAATCCAATGGATAAATTAGGGAATGAAAAAACTTTTCCTTATTAGACTTCACATGATGATATTATGAAGGGTCAAATTTACTTATTTTTTTTTTTTTTTTTTGGTATGGATTTTAACAAATTTTGCTAAGGTCAAATTTACTTATTAACTCAATAGAAGATGATGTATATCCCCTTGACTTAAGAGACTTATATTATAATTTTTATCTTTCAATTAAATAAAGTTTATATACATTTGAAAAGCTGATTTGTTTATTAACTGAAAATAAAAATGAAAAAGGAAAGTGTACAAAAAAAAACACATTCTATATTGTTTGTTGTTTAATATATTAAATTTATTTATTTATTTTCGTATGACTTTCCCACATAAAGATTCATTGACTTTATGTTGATTATTTAAGGAGAGGTTTTTATTTAAGTTATCTCAAACATTCCAAATAGAACATCATCTCGAAAACAACCTCACAACACAAATCAAAACTTGAAAAAAATGAAATTTAGGGGACTGTATTGGATTGAGATTTCAAAAGATTTTAATGGATTGTTTTTGGACAAAAAAATCCGTTGGTATTCGATTGGAATTTTAATGGATTGAAAAAAGTCACGTGACAAATATGATTTTTTATAACATTCAAAGAATTTTTTATAATTATAATTTATTTTATATTATATTAGTCTTCATCATAAAAAAAAGCTTTATTATTTTTTATAGGAAAAATAATAAAAAATTTATACATTTTTTCTGAATAAAATTATATTTTGGATTTCTCAAATCATGTTAATACATTTTTTAATATATATTAGTATTTAATATTTCATATATCGTAGAAAATAAAATAATCTCTTATTCACGTTAAAAAAAACATGAGATGACGTGAAAGAAAAAGAAAAAGAAAAAGAGAAAATATGAATATGAGATAATCTTAATATTTTATAGTACCCTATATTTTAAGGCAAAAATGAAATAGCACAAAGATATATAGTAGCGCAGTTGCATCGAAACAAAATACAGAGAGATTGGAATGAAGGTAGCTCCCATCGTAGTGTTATAATTTCTTAATTATAAAAAATTATTTTATAATTAAGATATGATTGTAAAATATTGTAAACAAAAATAGGGTGTAAGTATAACATTTCTTTTTTGTATTGACTCTTGTAATTTTGAATGTTTGTTAAAAATTCATATGATTTTTTAAAATCTTATAAATCCATATTGTCCTTTCAAATCTTATGAATTCTATTAAAATTCTTTAAACAATCTTATGAAATCTTGATTGTAAAAAAAGTCTTTTAAAAAAGTCTACAAATCTCTCCAATTCTGAACAGTCTTTTAAAATCTTTAAGATTTTTTAGCTCAAAGCTCAAAAAAATCTTTTAAAATCCTAATCTAATACACCCATCTTAATCTCTTAAAATCTTTTAAATTTTTTTAAAATCTATAAGATGTACTCCCCATTTCGAACGGTAATAAACTGTATCGTGAGTCATGTCTTAGTTTCCTCATTCGTATATAAACTCATCTTTCCCCGGCAACATTCACAAGAAAAACACGCAACCTTAGATCTTTCACTCCCAAATTTTTTGAGAAAATTTTCAGCTTCCGTTCGCTCACAACTGCTAGTTTTTCTATTCTCCCTTCTTGTTTGTTTTTTTCAGATATTTGTCTTGCGTGTTTTTTCCGAGAAAAACACGCAACCTTATATCTTTCCCCGGCGGTAAATTTGGTTGAGGGGTTTGGTGGAGGCTAGAACCATGAGATCCAATCGTCTTCACAATTTCACGTTCCCTTCCCCGTTCTTGAAGTGGGGGACCCAGTGGATCATGAGACCTACGAATGCTGACGGCACCGGTGGAATTTCTGGCAGCGGTGATAATAAGCGTAAGCGTTCTTCAGTGTCAAAGGTCAAAGAATCAACGGCGACCCACAAGAAGGAGTTGGAGCCTGAAAAGAAGCACGCGACAAATGCGAGGGTTTTGAAACGACGTAGCTCCATCAAGGTTGAGGATGAGATCGTCTCAGGTAGGAAGAAGCTGATGCTAGATGTGAAGAACGAAGAAAAAGAACCTGTGAACGGCGAGGGTTTGAAAGACGAAGAACCTGTGAGGCCGTGGAATCTGAGGAATAGGCGAACAGAGTATAAGGGTGATACGTTGAAGAGGTCGACCAGGACCAGAGGAGCTCCCACATGGGCAAAGGATTACTCAACAGACATTAAATAGCTAGCTGTTAGGTAGTTAGGCGGTAGTTATTTCTGTTGTTCTGTTATTCTGTTAGAAATAGGTAATTGTAACCATTGAACCATTTTTCAACCAGAAATATTCTTTTCCAATTTTCTCTATCCTCGATAAGAATCCCTCTTATCAAAGGGTTCTTCAGTTAATGCCAGTGTTAGTATCAATTTTTTGTAACAGGCACTTTGAGGTCATCATGAATGTCCTAACTTCCTTAGTTTTGAGGTCATCATACAATCCTTATGCCAATTGAACTTTAAATCAACTCAAATTTCAATGTTTGTCCAAGCCTAGTTTTAGTGAAAATTTTGTACTTTCATTGTTGTGAATTAAGTGCTCTATCTGTTAGCTAAAGTACCCATTTTGATTGCAGAAGGACTTACTTGAATTAAGACCCGAGTTGCCGAGAGAATTTTAGTTAGTTATATATATTGCCGAGACAAAATTTGATTGATCTATTCAAAACTTATGCTGTTGAGCTGTTGATAATTGAACCCAACCCTTATATTGTTCTTGAGTAAATTGTTAACTTGAACTTCATATTTTGTTAGTACTTGAGCTCTGTTACAGAACTAGTACTGGCAGTCGTATTTTTGTTTTTTTTTATCTGCTATCCTTAAGAGTGAAATAAAGCCTTTTATGTTTGTTTAGGTTCAGAGTTGAGTTACATATAATTATATTATTAGTACTACTTGGCTGAATCATTTCTGATTTTGTTACTGACCTCTGATTATTATGATTTAACAACAATATCAAAGCTGACCAAGATATTCATAATTGTGATCTTGCTGGTCAAGTAAGTGCGTTATCCCATCAGACTGTGTTGGATGTTATTGTGTGACCCTGTGTATCGAATGCGCATTTGTAATGTGGTGTGTAAACTGACTTCTGTAAAATAGGTTATTAATTGAACTTATTACATTGAACATCATCTAGTTGCTTCTAGTGAGCACTTGTTCCACTGTTACTCAATTATTAGTGAAACTTGGAATTATGCCTTTGCAGGAAACAAACTCGTTCAAGTCTTTAAGATTATCGCCACATAGTCTAAAGCAAGTGCTTTGAGGTTTCTGAATTGGGTATATCTATATACGTATAAAATTTATTGAATAAATTGTGGGATTATTTGAATACGCTATAGATTGTACTCATCGAAAAAAGGCTTTTAGAATAAGACCTCTAATGCTTTATTGAGTAAAAAAAAATATTGTGCAGATTGAGCTAAACTTATCAATTTATTTCAAATGTAATCTTCTGTATTTAGTTTTACATAGCCTTAGTACATTGATTGGTCATGAAGTATAAGCATAATCTTACATTAAAGATGTGACCAATGCGATGTGTGGAATCTTAAACTGAATGAAATAAGGTTACATTTGTAATGTGGTTATGTGTGTAAACGAGAGACTTCATTATACGCAGCATTTGTTGCTAGAGTTAAGATGTTATTGTTGTAAACCCTTATTTTCCAAAATATACGTTTTGTGTGTTGTCAAGATGACCTAACCTTCATGACATGATTCCTGTCCAGTTTTACCTTTTATATGAAATTAATGTAATATGTCTAAATTTTTACATAGTGAATCATCAACTTTTGGTGCAATGTACTAGTGCCAGCTGTAGACTAAAACTGTAGTTTATTTAAGGTTCTAGTATGCTAAGTGATGGTGTAAGGACTGATCAAAAAGAGTGGTAATAAAATAGACCATTCCATTCCTTTCCTTTAGCTTCGTCCACGGGTAGACAAGTTTCAATTGAACAACCAGAACCCAAGAGTGGACAACAAATGAAAGATGGCAACTCATGGCCGATTCACCGGTTCTATGCTTAGTATCTACTATATTGCCGCAATTGGTTTCATGAAACTTATTGTGTTCTGGTCATTCTAATTTAGGTACTTAATAAATGATATATTACCCTTCCCTAAAGTTAAATAGTTTGAAAGTTAAAAATTGGTGATCTTAATCGAATCGAAAGCTAGCCACATAGGAAGAGTGATTGTAAATCTGTTCAAGTTGTTGATAAAGTTGTGAGGAATGTAATGCTTTATGTTCCCCGTTACATTGACTATTTGCATCCAGTAGTTTTGATTGTACATAACAAGAAACTCTTTACTATCTCTTTTGATTAAGCAGTAGCACCTTAAATCTGGCTTGTTGTCCTGACTGGCACAACAGTCTTAAAATCATTTGTTTAACCTGTATCAATTTTATATTGTGATCGGTTATGTGGGAGTCCCATATATTTCGATAGATTGCATAAGCTTGGATAAACTTTCGTCAATATCTTTACTTAACAGCCTTACTGTGTGAAAAATTTAAGGCTCAAATTAAGTTTTGACATGTGTACCATTGTTGCATTATAGTACAGTCTTGATACGTTGTTTTTATGATCCTTGAGTACTAATATTGGTAACATTAAAATATAAATTATATTAGGAAATTATAGATATCCGAGGCCTGTACTAACTGAATGCCGTTGTTTTATTTGTGTAACTGACTTCCAAAAAGGAAGTTTGTTGAATCTGTTATATCTGAGTTAGTCTGGCCATAGACTGGTTCTCCAGAATATCTGCAATCGTCTGCTATGTGTGGTCATTTTGTAAGACCCAATTCATTGAGTACTTGAAAATCTACATGGGCTACTTCAGGTAAGCGCATAACCTTGTGTAATACGTCGTACTTAAAATTTTCAATTTCATTATGCTTGTCAATTTCATTATGCATGCTAACAGAACATGGTGGTGATCTATCAAAGTCAACGTTTCTCAAACCTCGAGATGGCACTGAATGGAAAGTATTTTGGACTAACATAATGGTGATGTAACTTAATACACAAGTGAATGATATTTTGCACAACAAAAAAGTTATGTCATTTTTATACTGTGGAAAGAATGTTTGTTGGAATATGTTGTTATTGTTTTATTATTTAAAAAAGGAAGTAGTGCAATATTGCTTTTAAGTTTTTTTTATGTGCAAACATTATTTTTTGTCTCTCAATGCTTAACATTTGTTTGAAGTGAACTTTAATGAAATAGGCTTTTCCTTTTTAGTATTAGAAAGCTAAATACTACTCTTTCTTTCTTCTGCTTTTTTATTTACAATTTCCTAGCTGATATTAATACTACTCACTTTTATAATCTGACCTTTTGGCCATTTTGATGGCATTAGTATTCATTCATCAATTAATGTACCTTTAAATGGACTTGGAAATATTGAAATATTCATTAAGAATGGTTAGTGTTCAAGTAGTTAGGCACAGCAGATTTCGAACCTAGCTATTTGAATCATCAGCCCATATTCTTCCCACCTTAAAGAGTGGCTTTTATTTTGAATTTTATGTCTTATTATTGATCAAGGATGTTCACTTAGCAGATGGAAATGGAGAATGTTACAAATGGTCTAACATATGTAGAATATCCATTGGTATAGCCAAAGGATTAGAGCATCTTCACACAGAACAAGAGAAGCCTATTATCCATGGACACCTCAAGTTTAATAAGAACATCCTTTTGGACCGCTCCTACCAACCATACATCTCAGATTCCGGCCTCCATTTTCTGCTGCATACGACCGCGGGCCAAGAAATGCTTGAAATTTCAGCTGCTCAGGGTTATAAGGCACCTGAGCTTATCAAAATGAAGGATGTTAATGAAGAGTGTGATATATATAGACTTGGTGTAATCTTGTTGGAATTACTTTCAGGATAGGAACCTATCAATGAGCATCCATGTAACACCCCGTTCTAGAACCAGTTTGTTAACACCGCCTTATGATATTAAGCACAGTTACAATCACATGGTTCAATTAAAATCCGGTTAAATTTTTTCTTTTTAAAACATGCCGAACTTAAGATAACCAAGTGCGTGATCATAACCGTATTACGTTGCGGAATAAAATAACTAAGATTAACATCATACTCTTATATCCTTAGACCAAATGTTACTACATGTCTTCTTCTAATCATTAGCTACGCGGGGCTTCAAACCGCGCCTCGTTTGGAGCACTGTAGCCCAAGTAATGACAATTTGAAGCAACACAAGGGGGTGTTGAACACAGGCCCCGCGCGCTTCAGCGCGCTACCGGGCGCTCAAGCGCGCGTTATCGGGCGCTAAAGCCTCCATCTGGGCACTTAAGCGCACTGAGGCAGAGAGCATCGGTCTTTCAGTATAAATGGGCGCTCAAGCGCGCACCAGGGCGCTCAAGCGCGCTATCCTGGGCGCTTCAGCCCCCATTTGGGACGTTTTAGCGCGCAGAGGCAGAAGCCTCTCCTCCTTCAGCGGCTAAGGGCGCTCAAGTGCGAACCAGGGCGCTTAAGCGCTCCCTCAGGGGGCTCCAGCGCGAGGAGGCAGAGAGCATTTCACAGGGGCAGCAGGGCGCTCGAGCGCGCTCCTGGGCGCTTGAGCGCGCTGCCAGGGAATTCTCCCTCTCTCATTTCTCCAGTCCAAACCTAGGGGAAAGGGCATCCCCATGACAAGCCTCAATGGTTCATGCCTCTAAACTTAACCCTAGCACTTATCCAACCTCTCCTCATGGATTATACTAAATTTTGGGCAGCATAACCTATGTTTTCGCAACATTTCCCACTTTGGCACTAGGTGCCTAATCAAGTTTTCCAGCTCAACAATCCAATACATAAAGAGCATACATATATTGAACTTAAAGTAATCATCAACTACAAATTATGTTCATTACAATTCATGGAACTTAGCTTACAAAACACTATGATCACTCCCTTGGCTCCCATCAACAAAGAGATAACCAAAGGCATGAGCATAGGCTTAGTCCATTCCAAATAAACAGAACATACATCTATCAATTGTCTATTAATTACAATCCTATACATGTGAGCTACAAAATAACATGTATAATATCAAAATACAGGATCCTCATGCATCATTACTAGTCCAAGTATGGCCACTTGCAACTGGTGGCTCCTGCAGCATCCTTACCTGAAAGGGGGTCCCCATAACATGGGGTGAGATATAC